CTGGAGTGTAACCATAATACTGCAGAGACAATGAAAAGCCTGGTGAGGTATGAGCCACTCTTCCTCACTGAGAAGAAATGGACTGCACCCAGTGCAGTCCTTAGGCTGCAAAACTAGTTCCATCCTTACTTGCTACTTCATAGGCACTTGATTTATTTCTTACCATTGTATCCAAAAGCACCCTGGAGAGGCAGCAAGTCTGCTACTGAGACCCCCGGACTCTCCTTCCCTGTCTTGCAATGAGGAGTTGCTTTTCGATGTTATCTAAGTGTTGCTAAATAACAGAAAGGTGCTCTCTCTCACAACATTCTAGGGTCCAGATCCCCTTGGGAGCCACACATGGATTTTCCTACCCAAGGCAAGAAGGAAGGCAGCAATCTGAGTAGTAGAACAATACAGAGAAGTCTTATTCGACTGAGCCTTGGCCAAGGAGCAGATTGTTGGTCTGGCTGCTAAACTGGAAGCCTCAAGTTTAGCTTCTAACCTGGGGAGATCTGGAGAAATGGGGAATGGCTGTTCCAAGAAAATTCATTAAAGATGCCTTGAGGTTAGTGCAGAGGCCCTGCCTTGTGCACAAATTAGTCCTTGGACAATGCAACATGTATTTTGTTGCAAATATGGTGTGTGAGTTACCAACCCACACTGCAGGTTGAGAACTATGTGCGAGTAGATATTTACCGCATAAGGAAGCTCCAAATGGAGTCACCTTGTGTAGTTTCTCTGTGTGCTTGGATGCAGTTATTCAGGTCCTCCTATCTGCAGAAGGAGCCAGTTTATGCTTGTCTTCAACCATTTTTGGTTGAGTTTGACTGGAAGCTCTTCAGACATATTTTGATACACAGGTAACATAGGGCAGTCCTGATCCCTACAGGACTCTCAGTGTGACTGTAATATGCACAAGTTCTCACTTGAGGAATCTAAAAAAAAGTGTTCTTTCTCTACCTAGGTTCAAAGAGTGCCTTGATTTATAAACAAATTAAATTTAGGTTCTGATTAAAAATCTGACTTAAAAGGAACTTTCCAAATTTATAAGTGTTCAGTTACTGCCTTGAAGTTTTCTGCTACAGATAACACACTCATGACATGTTGGGTGAAAAAAAGGTTTTGACTATTCTTGGTGATCCAGACCCCTTCACTGTAGAAATCAACATATATAATTTTTTTTTCCCCATGAAGATTTGACCTTCCACCTTTTCAGTAGAACTATAGTGGGATTTTTATGCCTATACTATGAACAGTAAACACCGTTTTCCTTTAGTCTACATCCTATTTTTGAGAATAGCTGCATTTTTTCAAGTTCCAGCCCACAATTTATGTTTTCCTGCATCCTTTGGAGCAGACTTGACTGATACACTGTAATACTTGAATGCATTGAAATGACTGTTTCTATTACAGTAGATTTTCTAGTCAGTAATATCATTTCTAAAATTTTAAATGTTCTAGAAATAATAAATGAGGAAGAGTAGCCTCACTTCTTGATGAAATATGGGTGCCTAAATTCCCTTGACATAATCTCCAGTACATTGAAATATGATACAGTTCAAAGCTTATCTTGGGATAAAACTTTGTTGAGTTTATGTCCTGTTTGGACAGACAGCTTGAAACAGATGGCAGGAATCCAGTGAAGAACAAAGGGAGAGGTCAGTTGTCAGGATGGAGTAAACAGAACAGCTGGAGTAGAAAAAGCAATAAGTGCATTAAAAGAATAAATATTTTTCACAAAGCCTTACTTTTGATGGTGTAACTGGCTTTCACCTATGTTGTTCTCTGAGCACAGTCCAAAAAATTGCTGGATACATTGAACCTGCTGAGCATCACCTATTGTCATCACCAGTTCCATAAATGTTGGTAGAGAAAAATGTCTGTAGACCAAAAGAGTAAACACCAATGGAGCATGCCTTCACTGGTGTGAATGAAACTATCCTGCCAAAGGCTTGCTTCCAAGCAGGAACCTGGATATGCTGGTTTAATTATTCTGCAACAATTTTCATTCACGAAACATGAGGGATTCAGGCACTCAGGTTGATCTGAAAACCATCTGAGATAGTTAGAGTCAGCTCAGAAGTCCTGAATAATTAAAATTTCAACATCTGTAAGTCCAAACTGATGGGAAAGCATCTACTCCCTTTCCCGTGCATAAAGTCTCTTCAAAGAAGTGACTCTTCCGTGTTCTGTGGGTTCTGAATTGATCCAAATAGACATTTATACCTATGTCACCAATGAGACTGTAAAAATCCACTCAACACTCGACTTGTATTTTCTATGTATTTCTTCCTTCTCTGCTGATTCAGAATTTCCCTTTCTGTTTATATGCTTTATTTCTCCCCCTTTTACTGTGAACAAACTGTCATAACCTTTCTGCAAAGGTCCCATTTTTCACACCCTTCTCAGCTGCTGCTGGATGCCCTCTCAACTCTCTCACAGTGTCTGGCTGGAAAACTTTGCCAGGTTTTGTAACCTCATTCTTGAGACCAGGGGTCTTGAGAAGGCCACCTGGCAGCTCTGCAAAGCAAGACAGAACAAGGTAGATAGGAGCAGTTACCACAGAGTTGTGTCCTAGTAAATTATCGCTAGTCAGAATTTTATGTTAACGGTACTGGAAATAGTCCTAGTCTGTCCCATTTGTCAAGTAAAACATGAAGATGGTTTAAACTACCTCATAAGCGAGGAGAGGTGTAGAGAGCTGTGAGGGCCTGGCTGGTGTAACTTGACCTCATTCATTTACAGCTGAGACACCTTCAAAAACAGCACTGGTTTAACAAGAAAAGCAATTGCCATACCTTTCCAATGCAGATAACCTGTTGTGGCTTTATTTCTAAGTTGTAGGATATCTGCAACAATGCAGTGTAAAAGCAAGAGAGGTTTGGAATTTTGTATGGAAAACTCAGCTACATCTTAGGTATGTCTTTTAGGCCTTTATTAATTGAATAAACCTTTTTTTATTATTATTTTTGGAGGAGGAAAGATAGGGAGATCTGCTCATTTTATTTCAACCAGATACAGCAAGATCTTTATTTGAGATAAGACTTTATTCCCATAAAAACTCTTGCACAAGAACAAAGTCCCAACAGGCAAGCTGTGAAATAAGAAATGGCAAGAAAAAAACCACCATTTGGTCAATGGGATGCTGAAAGCATTGCTCCACATACAGCAGTAAGTGATTTGTTTAACCATGCATCACTCAGGAACTCTGCTAGGAAACACCTGATAATACTTTGTATGGCTGAATCCAGAGGTCTACTGAACAGTAGTAGGAAGTACACAATGCAAACCAAATGAAATGAAACATTCTGTAGTGCACAAATGTGATACAATTGCACTACTATTACATCTTCTTGGAAGCCTCCTCATGAGCAGTCTAAGGAAGCAGGAGGCTGGAAAAATAATTACACCATGGGAAAAGCAGATGACATGACATTGGATGTGCACAGGCAGAGTTGTGCAAAATTTTCCCTACTGAAAGCTGGTCTTGATTTCTGGTTTTGGTTACTGTTTTACGAGGGTAAGCTGACATTAGACATCAGATCTAACAAATCAACCAGTTAAAGCAAAGCACTTGGTGCATCTGTTTCAAACTAATTCTGACTTCTTACCCAACAATGGGTCTGACTGGATACCCACAAACCAGTGTTCAGTTGTCTTTGAGATACCCTGGGGTACACAGCCTGGCCTCCAGCTGATAGTCAAGAATAGCTCTGTCCTGTAAAATAGTTTGGTCATCAGGCATGGAGTTATTATGGCAGCTACATTTCCAGCTACAATTTCTCCAGAGTTTTTCCCAGCAGTGATGTTTTGGCAATGTTAACCCACTTAGGAGGTGTGGCACAGTGATGCCCAACACTAGAGTCCTGTTGGGGCTTACACAGATATAAGTGGTTTTGTGCTGTTTGTGGTATTTCTGAATATGCCAATGAGAAGACTGTGAAATTCACAGGTAATTTCAACATTAAACATAGTCCTCTGCAGACTTTAGGCACCAGGTGGAAGAATGAGCAACTGAACAAGGACTGTAAAGATTTATGTTCTGGACTTAAATATTTCAAGTGGCAATTAAAGCACCCAAATCCTTCCCTGGATCTTCACTTCACTGGGCATCATTCTCTCCAAACAGAAAAGGAACTCAATTTAGTGGTGATGGCCCCAGTTCAGCAATGCAGTAACTTGCCTGATGTCTGTGGTGAAGCACGAGGGACTGATTAGAGGAAACATATGGTCGTGAATCACATGTGTAAGGTAGAAAACATATGCTAAGGTCTGCTACAAAGAGCTTTTTCCAGGAGTAAACAGCAATTAATGAAGCTGAAAGTTTGTAACTCTTCAATTTACAACTCTTGGCAGAATTTTTTTGTAGTAACATTTTGAAGTGAAAGACAGTGAAGTCATAAAACTTATAAATATATAAAAAAATCACAAATTACAATACAAGTACTCATGATGGAAGAAAGTTTTAACAATAAAAAACATTTTTCAATTAAAATCTTACCTGATATATATCTTCTGGGATTTGAAAAGGTTACTACAATTATTTTATTTTATGTTCTTCCTGTCTCCCAGAATTATTTGAAGTGAAAAATATTAAAAGCTTTGTATAGATTCAACAGCCTAATATTTTGGTTTTAATTTGTTTTGGTTTGTTTTGCTTTGTTTTGTTTTAGTGACAACTGGGAAGGACGTTATTTAGCATTAGCTGATTGAAACATTTCTTCATTTTCTCTAGAACAAAGATGGTAAAAGCAGACTGAATGTTGCAATGATAACTTTTTTATTATTATTTTATTGTATGAGAATGTTCATGCTGCAGTAGAAATATCTCAATTCAAATCAAATCTCTGTCCTTACAAAAGACTCATTTCCCAAATACCCATTTTTCAGAATTTTCATGGAAAATTCTGGAAATATTACTTTTAATTTTGATCTATAAAAAGGAAAAATAATAATAAAAAAAAGAAAAATAATGAAAAATTATGTGAACTCAGACCTCCATAATCTGACTAGCTCTGCCCACATGTGACATCATCACCCACTTCTATCATCTCTCTGGACACTTCTACTGCCAAATCCCTTCACAACTTCAGCGCAGGGAGCAGACAACATTTACAGGCTAAGTTTCTCTGCTACTCTATTCCTCACCTAAGTGCATGACCCATTTTAGTTTTGCAAATATTGGAGAATACTTCAAATTGTGAGGAGCATCTGGAGAGCTCCTGTCCAGCTCCCTGATCAAAGCAGGGTCAGCTTCAGTGTCAGAATTGCTCCGGGCCTTGCCCTGATGAGTTTTGAAAGTCTCTAAGGATTTTCCACAGTTTGGCCTCCCTTATTATGAAGAATTTTTTCCATATGCTTAATGTGAACATCTGCAGTTGTAACTCTCAGAGGTTGCAACTTGTGCTTGAACTGAATACTCCCTCCTCCTGGGAGGAGCTGACGCTGTCTTCCTGTACTGCCCATCCAGTATTGAAAAAAGATTTTCCTCCAAGAGTTCCTCTTCTCCAGGCTGAATAAACCTAGTTTTCTCCATCTCTTTCTCAGATATCATATGCTTCAGCCTCCTGACCATCTTGGTGGCCTCTGCTGGATTCAGCCCAGTTTGTCAGTCTCTCTGCCGTACTGTGAGACCCAACAGCCTGAGACAGTAATCAGATGTGGTGTTAGATGTGCTGAATACAGGGGAGTAACAGCATTCCTTGACTTTCTAACTAAGCTTTTGAAAATACCGCTTAGTATGTAGCTGTATTTCATTGTAACTAGGGCATGATGATGGCTCATGGACAGCTTATTGTCCTTTCAGACCCTCAGATCATCTTCTGCAAAGATAATTTTCATTCATCTTGTCCCTAGACTGCAGTGTTACATGAGCTTGTTCTGTCCAAGGTGCAGGTCTTAGCTGAACATCACGAAGCTTCTCTCTGACCATTGTTATGATGCGGAAGCTTCCTCTAAATAACAGCTCTACCCCAACATAACAAGCACTGATCATTTGGTGTCATCCACAAACACAGTAAAGGCTCTGTCCCATCAGCTTAAATGCATTTTTTATTTATTTTTTATGTTTGTTATTACAAATGATCATGTAGCACAGGCTGTTCTAATTTAGGTCAAACAAAGCTAAACCTGAAGTGATGTATTTCTTAGACTAGCCTATGTGCATCTGTGCCTTTGCACGTCTGTGCACAAACAGAATTGGTAACTGTTTATAGAAAATAATATGGCCAGAGGTTACCTTGCTGTGCAAGGTAAGACCTGTTTTCTTTCTCATGAAGATACAGGGGATTCGGCTTGTGGTTTTGGTTTGTTTCTCCTCAGAAAAATAAAAGGATACTGAATGGCATGGGGAATAGGTAGGAACAGGAAAGCAAATGCTTTGGGCTCCCAAAATATTAGGAAGCCCTTAGTTGTGTTGCATACTGTGGGTAGTTCAGGGCTGAGCAGGGGCCCTGCAGAGAGATCTGTAGCCCGAGACTCTGGTGCTCTATTAGGGTATTGTCTTGGCTTCACAGAAAAAAAAAAGCCAATATCTCTGGAAAATGAGACTTGACCTTCTACAGATGGTCAGTATGAGTCCTGACTTGCTGAACTTTGAGGGCCTGTCTCTGTTTCTAGAGTTTCTAGTGTTTCTAGTTTTTCCACTATTTTTCTGTATGTGATCCCACTGCAGAGGATTGTTTGGGGGAAAAAAACACAGCAAACCATGGTAGGAAATATTTGTTCAGCATGGAGAAAAGAAGGTTTCAGGGAGACCTCATTGCACCTTTTCAGTACCTGAAGCGGGCATATAAGAAGGAGGAAGATGGACTTTTTTATATGGGCAGATAATGACAGGACAAGGAGGAACCGTTTTGAACTGAAAGATGACACGTTTAGATTAGATGTTATGAAAAAATTCTTTACTCAGACAGTGGTGAAACACTGGAACAGGTTGCCTGGAGAAGTTGTGGATGCCCCATCCCTGGAAGAGGTCAAGGCCAAGTTGGATGGGAATTTGAGCAACCTGATGTAGTGGGAGGTGTCTCTGTCAATGGCAGGCAAGCTGGAACTAGGTGATCTTTAAGGTCCCTTTCCATTCTCTAATTCCACGATTCTGTTGTCCTGTCCTATGCAAACACCTGCAAAGAGGAAGGCACTTGTTCCATGCAGCAATTTAAAAAAAAAAAAAATGCCTTGGCTGAATAAAACCCAAACACTTTATTACATACCCCAGAGTCCCAGAAGGATATCCTTGGCTTAGTAGTATTAACTCTTTTTGCCTCAACAGAGTTTGTTGCAAGGACTTTATGAAAAATAATGACTGAGGGTGTAAAATTGTTATTGCAAAATTACAGTCAAAACAGCCTGTATTGTGCCTACTATCCTGGTTTTGGCTGGGATAGGGTTAACCTTTTTCATTAAACCATTACACCAACCTATTAGGAAAATGGGGCTGACTGACAGAAAGATACAGACACAGTAACAAACAGAAAAGGCAATACTGGGGCTGTCATCTACATACCCCTATTTTGAGAAGTAATATCATGTAGAGATCACATTTCTACCCATTTTTCCTCTCTATTTTATTCATACTTTCTTGCCTTCATGCTCCTCACCCCACCAAAAATAACAGAATTACCTGGAGCAGGGTCATGTCACTTCTTGGTTTATTATGCTGCTAACAGAGAAATACAAACAAGCCATGCTGCATTTTGCTCCTGAGACTTATTCTTAAGAAAACTGTTGCTGCTCCCAAGGAAGTCAATGGAAGTCTAATTAGTCCCAGATGTTTAGTAATAACAAGCATTTCCTATTGGGAGACCCAAACAAAAGTAATGTTAAAACTACTAATTTAAGTGGTTTGACTCTGTCATCAGATATTTAACTAATTCCAGCTTGATGCTAATCAAGCCAATACTGGCTCTCAGAAGGAGATACAATCTTGCCATGCTCGACACAAAAGCTGTGAACTCAGTGTATGGCAAATCAGCCCATGTCTGGGCACACAGCTCATTCTGCCTTCACACCAAAGGCAAAGCTCATCCACTTCAGCATCGGGCTTTCCTGTGGCTGCTGCTTGTGCAAACGTTTTCCTACAAGAATAAGGTCTTGAGCCAAGGATTAGCATGGGCTTTTGTAGATGTTTGATCAGGCCCTATTGCTGCTGAAGTTTTGTGCAAATTTGTAGAATCACAGAGTGATTTGGTTTGGAAGGCACCTTCAAGGCCACCTAGTTCCAACCTCCTTGCCATGGGCAGGGACGCTTTCCACTAGACTAGGTTGCTCAAAGCCCCATCCAACCTGCCCTTGAACACTTCCAAGGATGGGGCTGCCACAACTTCTCTGGAAAACCTGTTCCAGAGTTTTGCCTCCATCTTCACTAGATCTCCTTGTTCTCCATTGGTCGTACTCTGAGACATGGAGCAGCTGTACCTGCTCCAGGGCCAGGAGGTAAGAGGTGAAGTCTGAACACCACAGAAAAATATGAAGGCTTTTCTTTTAATTTATGGAGCATTAGAAGCTGGTGCTTTAATATATTCACAACCCTGTGCTTTTTACAAAGTTCAAAGATGTTTTTATTGTGCAAAATTCCACAGTGAAAATCACCAGCCAGGTTCTTACATAAATGCTTTAAAATAGAATTATACATCTTTTTGTAGTGTGTTAATTTTGACAATCACCAGCTGGAAGAAACAGGTATGGAGCAGCAATTTGACTCTGAGTTATTTACTTGGACAGGTTTCAGTTTGACCTCTCTTACTCTTGTATGTTTTAATGTACAGTTACTGGCATGAAAAGAAAACCTGATACAGTTCCTTTCAAAGCCATTGGACCCTGTTAGCAGGTCAGGCTCCCCCTGTTGGTGAGCTTTTCTTAACCTCAAAATGGCGAATTTTCTGTCAGGGTACAGAACATAAGGTGTTTCAGTGTCAGCTTTTAGCAATGGAACAGGTTAGCCACATTAAACCCATCATAGAATGAGGATCTACATAACTTTTCTTGCAGCCCATCCTATAGGCCATAATATCTCTTTAGGGAGAGACAGTGGATATCTGATCTGAATAATGTCTCAGGACTAGGTTCCCTGTGTATCATTTCACAGCAGTATCTTTAAAGTCCCTTTTGTTGTCTAAATCCTATGACCTTTAAAAATAGATATATTATTCTTCTGCATTGAAATGCAACTGTATGCAGTGAATTGTCAACAGTTTTCCTCAGAAATATAAAGATTTCAGTCCAATGATAGCTGGTTGAAATTCATCTCCAAGATTTTTCTTTTAAAAAGTGTTCACGCTGGAGATTAATTTCTTCACCTTAAACCCAGTTAAATATGCATTGCACATGAGGGGCAAATTTCTCCTCTTTTAGTTGAACTGTGGACCTGTGAGCTTCTGAGCAGATCTGGGTAGTGTAAAGTGCAGTTGTTTCATACTTGAGACTTCTTCTACATCCCTCATGGGTAATAAGGGCCAGGACTAATTGACGTCATCTACCTCTCACATCTAGCCCTTGTGACTGGAGCAACATCCTAACAAACATTTTTTAGATGGCAGCCATGAGCACAATAGACTGTCATTTCCTTTTTTTTTTTTTTTTTTAGCTAAATTCTCATGGGTTTGGAACTCATGAGAAATTTTCAACCAACTGCAAGGAGTGAAGATTGTGCTTTGACCCACTCTGGCTCATTTTTGTATGATTGCAGTTTCAGAAGTATTAGGAGCTAACCACTTAGGAAGAAACAAAGCTCAGACCAGCCCAAATCAAAATATCAGATGGAGGCACATAACTTTGAGAAGGGATTTCCTATGTGGCTGATGTAATCAATGAGCTCTGAGCTTAGTGGAAAGCCTCGGGTCTCAAGGTTAGAAAGCTTTTTCTTTTGGTCTGGTTTAAATTACACATCCCTCAAAACAACAGCAGCACTTTACAGTGGCCTCCTCTACCACTGTATGAACTTGTTAAGCAGACCTGCACGTGAATGAAGCAAGTGCAAAACATGGTAAATTCTCCTTCTAGTCCCTGCAACACAGACCGCTACAGTGGTGCAGTTCAGGGGCACTTCAAAACCACCTTAAAATCCACAATTAAAAATCAAAGATGAGAGTTTTACCCTTTATTTATACATGCTGCCAGTGTAGCACCTGTTTTCTTTAATTTTCAAGGCATTTTGTGTTTCTATGCTTTAAACTGATGGCTGAAGTTATGCCTGCGGAAGCAAAAAAACGAACCTGCACCGATGATTATCACAGATAAAACCAATACAAATGTTAATATAATAAGGATGTTGATTTTCTTTGGATCCTCTTTTTCACAGTCTTCTGGTCTAATGTTCCAAATGTACGTATCTTCCTGATACCCGAAGTTCTGAGTGTACTGGCACGTTAAGTGCTCCATGTTGGGGATCTGGACATTTTTGTTCTGTATCATTGATGAAAGCCAGATGTTTCCACAGCAGTCGAGTGGGTTCCCAGTGAGATACAGGTTTTTAAGTGAATTTTCTAATGCTAAAATGTTGCTGTTCTGCAATGTACTGAACTTATTGTTCCTTAGGTCCAGAACTTCCAGTGGAGAGTCACTACCCCACTTAGGCAGCCAGTTCAGCTGATTTTCAGAGAGGTTTAAATGTTTAAGATGACTAAAACAAGGCAAGTCTATATTTAAATCCATCAAGCTATTGCCATGTAAATACAAATATTCCAGAGACTTTTCCAGTCCTGACAGTGCTTTAAGTTCTATTTTCAATCCAGGGTTCATGGTAAGATCTAAGACAATCAAAGAAGTCTTGTAGAAGCTGCATGCTGGTAGGGTGTTCAGCATGTTGTCAGCTAGGTACAAGTACTGAAGACTAGGAGAATCAACAAACGATACACAACCACTTTCCTCTCCAGCAAGTCTTTGCTTTGCTAATCCGGAGTACATGCTGCAAAGGCTGATGTTATTGCTTTGTAGATTAAGCAGTCTGAGACTAGGAAGACTAGAGAAGATGTCAGATTGCAGGGTCTGAAGATGGTTGTTTTGAATATAAAGCTCCTTCAAATTTGACAACACACCAGCGTCAAGGAGAAGGTTCTGCAAAGCATTGTAGCTCAAGTCAAGAACAGTTAGGGACATTAATGCATTGTCATAAGTTACTAAAAATGCCTGGAGACAGTTTTTACTGAGATTAAGGGTGTGAAGGGACAACATTGATTCAAAGAATTTATCTGGAATGGATTTGATTTCATTATAACTTAAGTCTAAATATACAAGCTGGGATAAATAAGGAGAACTTGTATTTCTACTTTGCTTCTGATCAAGATGAAAAGAACCATCTAGCCATTCACTTTCCATGTAATCTTTTTTATTGTGAGTGGATTCAGCAGTGAGCTGGATTAAATTATTTGATAAATTCAGAGTTACCAGTTTATTTACCTGAGGGAAGACTGGGAAGTGAAGCAATTTGTTTTCACTCAGATCCAGACATCTTAAGCTATATTCATCATCTGACCTCGTGATGTGGAAGATCTCAATGCTATTCCTGCTAAGGTCAAGTATCTCCAGCTGCCTGAGGTTGAAATCAGAGATGCAAGTAATTGAATTTGTGGAGAGATTGAGTTTGGAAAGGTTCACTAGAGTCTCAAAAGCACCTTCTTCTATTTCCATGATGATATTACTCTGAAGATCTATCTCTACAAGGCTGGGAGATCCCTGAAACATCTTGTGTGATATCATTACAATACTGTTTTCTGCCAACGAAAGATACCGCAGTGTTGGAGCTTGTTTAATGAAATACTCAGCCATCCCATTGTACAGACTGTTGTGTGACAAGTCCATTATTTCCACCTTGGGTAAAAGTCCAATCCCCTCTGTTCCATTCTGAGCAAGCTCATATAAGTGATTGTTGGCTAAATTTATTTCCAGCAAACTCATCATGTGTGCAAACACTCCAGGCGTGATGAAGCTTATCTGGTTAGAACTTAAATCCAGACACTGGAGAGAAGTGTAAAATGATAATGGCATTTCAGGGATGCTTTGAATCAGATTTCCAGACAGATCTATTTTGTTTATGTTCAGATGGAGCTCATGCGGGATTTGGTGGAGGTCTTTGTTGCGGCAAAATGCCTGTGAGTTTGCCTGCCAGAAAAATAGAGAAAAGGGCCTGTTACACGACAAATGAAAAACATGTTTGCATTAAATACAAGGAAAATAACATTCAGCATCCAGGCAGGTCCTTCTTCTGAAATACTGATCACACCACTTTTTCTGAGCACTGAAAACAGCAAGAACGCTTCTTTGCAGCTAACAGCACTCATTTCATTTTAAAGACATTCCTGACTCACAACAGTAGCATTTTATCTGCATATGATACCTACTAAATGTTCTCCTTCTCGCACCTTTATCCTGGACTCATTTTAATAGTCCCAAGTGAAGAAGTTTTGCCCTTTTTTTTTCATTGCGATCAAGCACTATTTCTTAATTTTAGTTCTGGTGTTTAATTTTCTTACTTTCGTCACTCTATTAGATTTTTCAAACTCTACTTGCAATATTAAGTACTACTTAGAAGAGCTTCACTCTGTTGGCAGCATGGGTCCCAAAGCAAAGAGGTGGAAAAACATAAAAGGATCCTATAGCCCAAATCCTGTCTCTCCTGTCATATTCACAACCTCAGATATTTCATTATGTCTTCCTTTAGCCATGGCTTAGTTAAGCAGTGCATCTTTAACCAAATGGGTTATTCAACAACTGAAGTATTTCCCATGAAAATCTCCAAACTCTTCTGCTTCTACTATTCATGTTTACCCTTTCTCTAAGGCAACAGTTTCCTTCCTCTTGCATGGGGAGCACGCCTTGTGAAACCACCCATGCAAGACACCCGTGATGCAACATGGAAAAGGCAAATTACGTAAAGCCAGCTTTTGAGAGGGAAGAAGCTGTGATGTATAGTGAGGGTCGTGCCTTTTCAGGCCAATTCTCAGCAGCAGACAGATTAAAAAACAAGCATCAAAGTCAAATTCATCTTCCAGATGCGAGTCTGTGTAATTGTAGCTAGTACTCAGTCTGTGTCCAGAGCAAAGTTTAGAGTGTATGTTCATCAGCAAGATCAGAAACATGAACGTGACCAGCCTTGCATAAATGTCAAGCTATATTTTGTTATTAAGGAGAACATAGAGCAGTGTGAGGAAGTGGAATGTGAAAGGCTTAGGCAGCATTTAATTCACTGGAGAAAAACTCTTGCTATGAATATATTTGAGTGTCTGGTGCATGTAATGTTTGTGGAAAGATCACAAAAGAAAGAAGTAAAGAGAGAAATCTGTTGAATCATAACTTCACTGGAGAAGCAGAATCCAGATTTCATGACACAAAGCTTTTCAGACATTAAAGAAACATTTAAAGTCAAAAATACTAAACCCCTTCTGTTTCACATGAACTTTGAGGTGAATTAAGTGGCAGATCTGTTTAGGAGAAGTGTGACACTAGTCAGTGTTTTGTGAATTTCTTTTGCATCATCTAAATTTTGGAGACCACACAAAAATATACCAGAGAAGCATAAGTGCTTATCCAAACTCTGGATATACACAGGCTGCTCCCCATTCCTTCAGTGACACATCTTTTCCCAAAGATCCGAAGTAACTGACTATTAAACCCTGAACCCCTTCCTTTTTTTCCCTCCAACTCACTTAAATCTCAACCAGATTAAAAAAAAATCAGGGGAAAAAAAAAAAAGGAAATTTTCTGGCTTCTCCCTGAAATTATTTATTTCCTACAAAGTCCCCATAGAATTGCTCATTTTGAGCTAAAATATGCCCAGACTTGGCTTAGCTCCAAGGCACAAGAAGGAAGCCTCTTCTTATTTGGTTTGTGGAAGAGGGAGAAGCCAGAAGGATACAAAAGTACAGAGTGAGAAAGCAGCAGGTGCTTTGCAGCCTAAGGCAGATGCCAGGTTTCTTCCCACACTTTGAGCCAGACCTCAACAGTGGAGAGCCCCCTCCATTCCTTGCGGGTAATGAGCATCTTAGCAAAGTCCTGATCCAACTCCTGTTGATGCCAGTCGGCCGGCTTTCACTGAAGTTGATGGCTGAGAAGTCAGTCCCAGATCACCAAGTATCTTGCAGGATTTGGTCTTTAATTTACATCCATGGAACCTTCCCAGTGATAAAAGAGACTGATCAAATCTGGACCTCCCACTGTCTGACATTTGTTCCTGTAACATTTTGCCTCCCATTATTCCTGTAACATTTCACCTCCAATAATTCTTTTTAAAGTTTTATTCCTTTTCACTGACTATTTTGATCCTCACTAAATTTCTTCTCTCCTGCACCATCTTTTCTCCCTGAGGCTTAAACAGCATGAATGTCATTCCCATCAGCAATAGAAAGAAAAGATGAAGCACATCTCAGTGGATTGGAGCAAATAACATCTGTTTGGTGTATTTCCCCTTCTCTCACCTCTAAGCCCAAGGGGTTGGCAGCCTGAGACTGGAAAAGTCTCAGGCTTTTGCTTCACATTCTGACTTCATCATCTTTGCCACTGCTGTCATCAGTTTATTCCACATCTATTGGCAAGAAGTACTGCAGGGTGAGGAGCACTTGACCCTTTCAGTGTCTGGTTCCATTCATTTGCTGGCAAAAATTGACCGAACAGTTCAAAAGCTGAGCATCATTTGGATTCTGACTCCAATTCTTCACTGCTCAGCACTGGGTGGAAGTTGTCATCCACCTTAGTAAGAGCCCTACAAAAATGCAGCTGGATCCAAGCCTTCACTTGTATTCTCTGTTATCAGCTCATGAACATGTGAACCAAAGAATTTGGGCTGGAGCCACTTGGCAATGACCTGCACTTGAATGGTGTCCATGGCTCCCCAGCTACACAGCCAAACTTTGGCAGTTTGCCCAGGTACCCCACATCAGCTGACCTATGATAACCAGTTATGTACATATTCTTGCATCACCTCAGTGCAAGGTGAAACAGAATTTCCTAAAATCCCCTCCCTTCCATAAATCATTTCAAAGCTTATCCTTCACCAGTTAACAAGAATTAGTAGAAACGTCTTTCTTTGGGAAGTGAACAGGATCTAGTTGAAGCCCTTCCTGCCTGTGGAAGGCAACAGGAGTTAGGAAGAAGCTCTGGACATTTAAGCTGTACCTTGTTGTCTTGCAAATGTGTAGGTGTGCCATAACTTGTACAATCAGTGCATCTCGGTCCCGTGTGTGGGGTCTCATAGGAAGCATTCAATTCCTCTTTTCAGATTCTAGTTCAATGACAGGAGCAGCAGTGGTGAGTCAGAGAAGGGCATAAGTTTCTGACTCATCCCTCTGCCAGGAGACTTGGGATGAAAGTTTCCATTTCTGAGCTTTTGCTATTCTAAAGTGTCACCACAGGGAAGGTACCAAGTAAAACAGTAAGGCTGGGATGAAAAACGATAATGCAGGACTTCAATGGACTATCAGCTAATCCAGTAGCTCCCTCTTTCTTTAAGCTGTGTTTGGATTTACACCCACCTTCCATTGGACCAAACATCCTCTGAAGGAAGACAATCAGCAAGGACATTAGCAATGCTGAGCTGTTAATTTATATCAGATGAGCATCCCAGACATTGACTGCAGTGTGTTTTCTGTCAGAGCTAAATTTATCCCGGTTAAACTGCGTAGAGCCCTGGATTATTTGCTTGATGAAAGCAGTGGAGCAGTGGAAACAAGCATGTGTTTACTTCTCAGCAGTCAGCCTGGTCTGTGACCCATCAAGAAATGGGATGGGACAAATCTACTTGGGTTATTGCATGTCTTGCCCAGCCTTCATGTGACTATGATACATGGGACCCAAGCTGACATGTTGACAGTGGCTTCATCAGTCTTCCTTCTCCAGCCAGTGAATTGAGCTGCCCAGTCACCTTCCCAAGATCTTTTTATATATACTAGGTCTTAATTTCTTTGGAATTCAGGAAGTGCAGCAAAATGTCAGGGTGGACAGGAATGGAATGAGTCCCATAAGGGAGTTGTGTACAGCTAGCAAATAATTTTTTTCCCTATTTTGGAAATTCTTGAGGATTTGTGCTGAACAGCTTCAATGTGCAGGAAAAAAAAGGTACTCTTAAATGGCCTGTTACAATCAGAAGCACTTTGATAGGGAAGGGAGAAAGTTCAGCTGTGAATAACATTTATAATACTGTACCAGGTACTTGCAAAAATTCAAGGAACAAATTTTTACTAGGTCAAGAGGCTTTGTCACTTCATTTCCCTCCAGCAGAAGCCAGGTACAACTTCCCTGGCAGCAATGCTGTGTCAGGGCAGAGGAGGTCAGTCTCCCTGTTATCACAAAAGGGCTTGTATAGATGCATTTCACAGAAGATACTTTATTTAAAGCACAAAGAACATGGGCTTGATATAAAGGAGATGATTTTAGGTCTAAGTTCTTGCTCTGTCTCAGTCACAGAATCCCTGCACGGTCTTGGGGGGAAATCAGGTCAAATTTCTTTTAGCCAGCTCCCCCTTAAAGAAAACTGAGATAATGACCCTTCTTCCAACCTCACCCACTCCACCTCTTTTATGTGCTGTCACTACAACAAGGACACAGCCCAAGAACAGCCTGCTAACCACCCCCTGACCCTGCAAATCCCATCTCTGCTGTCATGGAGAGTCTGGTCCTGGGGGATTCCCATTTTCAGAGACTGTAGCTGTTTGTACAGTGCTTATAACAAGGGCGTCTCTCAGGATGTCAAGGGGCCTGAGTAGAGAGACAGCCTTACCATTTCACAGGATGTCCCTTCTGTGGTTCCTGTGTTCACCACTGCCAGTAAGAAGATGATGTACAGTTTCATGGTTCTGCAGGTAAAATTAATTATTGTTAGATTTCAGCTGGGACACAGCAGCCAACACATGCGAAAGCTGGCACCAGGTCATCACCAGGTATGGAGATGGACAAATCAGTGCAATAAATTAAGCCATCTCTGAGCTTAATGACCTACCTGTGTAGACTTGCATTCCTTTGAATCTGGTGCGAAAAGAGATTTATATGAGTACTTGAAAGGAAGGTCCAAGGAATTTAATGAGTTTGCCCCAGTGTGATTTCAGCCGCTGCTTAGATGATACCCAGGCCACCCAATGAAGTCCAGATGCTCATGCTGGGCAGTGTGTCTGGTATCATGGAGAAGGACAGCCACTCAAGACTGAGTTACCCACACTCCCCACAGAGCCAGCTCAGTTTCTTTCCACTGGGCTGAAGTTTTGGGGTTCTGAGTTTTGGGGTTTTTGAAGTTCTGAGCAAAGCGAACAGGCACCACTCAGAAACAACCAGCACTGGGAACCGTTTCCATTTCCATTCACAATATTTTCTACTCATCTAGTCCCAGAGTGCCAAAGAGCTTTTACATGTTCATCATTTTTGAGTTAGTACAAGCAGCTTAAAGAATGGACTGAGAACATTTTGTCCAAATATTGGTTTTCTAACATTTTTTCTAGTTTTCTAGCTTAGGGTTTTTTCACATCTCAGATGAGGGCAGGCTTTTAAATACATTGGAAAGGAGATCACAGAATAATTTGAGTTGGAAGGGACCTTTAAAGGCCATCTAGTCCAACCCTTCTGCCATGGGCAGGCAGAGATGCTTTATAAAGAGGCAAATATGAAATAGAATGGATTTGTGTGAATCAAAGGATTCTGCAGAGTTTACCTGTTTGGAAAACACTGCAGAAAAGAGCATGGAAATAACTGCAAAAGGAGCAAACACCACCGGGAGGCCTGTCACTAGGCAATGGGAGAAAAATACAACCAAAGCCAAAGGAGAGCATTCCTCCTCCAAACAGCTTGTTTCTAGACAGACACTAATGAGGCCTCTGGCTATGGTCAGCACTGATGTGAGCTCAGGATGTCACTTCTTTATGTCAGCTCTCTGCTGCAAACATGTGGACTCTGCCTGCATTTGTATGGCTTCTTGCTGACAGATCTGAGCTGGTCTTGCCTGCACCCAGAGCCGGTGAGACACCCTTTCACAACTGGAAGGCATGCAGCACTGCTTAGCTAGCACTGCTCTTAAGTTATCTCAGGAACAAGCCTGGATCTGGCAAGCTCCAAACACACACCAGTCCCATGTACATGAGCCAGAGAATTACTGCATCAATGGACTGTTACTCAGTGGCTTCTACCTAGAGAGCATCAGGAGGCTGGAAACAAAAGAGATGGGATTTTTCCTGGCTGTTGTAAATCCGGTTGCTTAGTCACTGTTTGAGGGAAGCAGCAGATGGCCATGGTCTCTCACAGCAATGGCAGCTGCTGAACAGCATTGCCAACAGGTTCACGATGGGAACCTGCCCCACTCCTCCCCTTCCCAGCCAGAGGATAGAGTTGTGTACTAGGAAGAGAGAAACTGGGGGTGGATTAGACAACAGCTACTCTATTTGCAGATTGCAAACTACTTTCATTTCACAAGAACAACCAGCAGTGGATGATAATCTGGGACCCTAAGGTTAAAGAACTTGGAGTTTGTCTTTGGTTGTTAGTAGCAGGATCAGAAGTGTGCTTATCCAATCTAAAACAACACCAATGATGTAAATTTTTGACCTTTTAATTAATGTTTGCAAAATACACTGAAGTCATCCTATGGAAGGAGGAATTGCTGAAGCCACTACCTATTCTGTCTCTCTCTCCCCCTCTCTGTTTCTCATTCTGCATGTTTAGAGGAGTGGATGACTCCTAAAGAGTAGAAAATTAGTTTTGTCATTTGAGTATTAGTTTGCTGGGATGGAGAGAAAAGACAAACATACCAATGCTTACAAGGCTTTACTAAGAGCCTTCAAATGGAAAAGCTTTCTGTTTAGATCCAATGAATTAAGCTGAGGATATTACCTCCAACAGGACACCATCCTGCTGGACACTATGTGACCCGTGCACTCTGCAATGTCTTCCCTTGTCACACCATCAGTTAAAAAAAACACCCTACAATCATCCCTTTGCTTCTTAAATAGTAAACCTGGTGCATTCCAGGGTCTTAACATGCTTTGAAATTTCCTTCATGTTAAGTTTATAAAACAACCAGGAAATTATGCATTTAAACACAAAAATCTGATGTAATGGCTTGCTGTGTAAAACAGATCTGTAGTAAGCAAGAATGCTGTCTCTCAATGTGTTTCTAAGGTGACTGTCACACACTAGCACTAGGACATGGTGGTCTCTCCAACTTGAGACCACATGGACTCTGACCAGAAGAAGGTAAGCCCCTTAGAATCATTTAGGTTGGAAAAGCCCTGTAATATCATCAAGTCCAGCCATTAACCCACCATGCACCATGTCCCCACGTGCCATATCTACACATCTTTTAAGGCTATTTCCCCTTGAGCTGTCATGGTACACCCCAAGCTCCTTGAACATGAAGACTCCCTTCCCAGGGTGATTTTCAGTTCTGCCGTCCAGCTGAGGAGCTTTTCCTGATTAACTTTTCTCTGGACAACCTTTAGATCCTCCTCAGTAACACCTAGTGTGACACAGCACTGTGTCCCGCTCTTCCCTACCCTCTGGACAGGTCTGAACAGCCCCACCTCCTTTCCCCAGTGCAGAGCTCAGGGCTCACAGGGCCCCCATTACCCTGGTGTCAGAGAGCATCACCACGAAGCCCTGTCTGCTGGTACTGATGTCTCTAACCACAGCTTACAAAAGCAATCTGGGAGCAGCAGCAGCAACAGCTCAGCCTAAAGAGGCTTTTACTGCTCTGAGGCTTTCCCAGACTTGAAGCAGCTTCTTGCTCAGTGTGACTTTGCTCCCATTGGCAGCTGTGATAAAAATCCCAGCATACCTGAGAGCAAGACTGAGCTTTGAAACCTATTCAGTGTCACTGCTTTCCATCACAATACTTCAAAATCATTCATCCCAGCTAAGAAATATAAGTAGGGTCAGTGTACATCATCCCTAAGTAGACCTATTAAGTGTATCAAACAATTTAATGTCTGGAAAAAGCATGGTACACAAACCACATCAGCATGCCCTCTTAACAAATGGAGGATAAAGGCAGAGAAGAACAGTCATTTGCCCCAAGAAACATTTGAAACCATGGAATAACTAGGGATTAATCCTGGTTTTCCCATTTCCCACTCCAGAACAATACTTGCCTCCATCCCTACTACAATAATAACCCTGAAACTACTTTATAGATATTGCTTGCAGCTAATAACAGCAGCACTTTCCAAATTTCTCCCACAAGTAATTTTTGTTACTGCTTAGACAATTAACACAGATGTCCTCCTGTGCCGAAGAGAACACACAAATACAAGAGAACACACAAAACAAAAACCAAACTCCCCAAGGTCTGATCCTTTTCCACGCAAGACTTTTAACTGCCAAGTTAGAGCCTTCAGGGCTAAAAAGATTGAATATTTCACATTTACCTTGTTTCAAGGGTTTCTTGCATCCTCAAACACCACTTATTATCTCTTTAAAAAGCTCTTCAAAACAGATTCAGTCTTGACACCAATGGAATTGTTCTTCAGCTTCTCAGGATGCCAAGACATTCACTCATAAATTCAGAAAAAAGGTGTTTTTTGTGAAATAACCTTAAATGGAACAGTGTCTGTTTTAATTATGCTGCTTGTCTTTCTCCGCACTCCTCTCTGAATGGAGTTGTCTACTGTGCAACATCCTGAAGACCTTCCTTGGGACAGGATTGAGAAATGGGGAGATTTTTGCCAGAGGATCTGCCACAATTGGGCCATGGGTTTGTCAGGGGAATAAGCGACTTATTATTGCCACTGCCACTGTCTGTCTGCATGTATGAGGCATGGTAATATGTTTACTTTAGGGGTTTGTGTCTATTCCTGGGGGCACTGTAGCTTCCTGAACCTAAATATCTCTCTGCATCTTCAGGGAAACAGCCCTTGAGGATTAAAAGTTTAAAATTCATGGCTGATAAATACAAAGCCCAGAATTCAGAAACCTGTCCTGGACTAAATAACTCTTTTTCTTTTCAATGATGGGCTCTTAGCATGTCATTTGCTTTGCAATGCACTCTGAAATGAGAGGCATAAATCATAGAATCATAAAATCACAGAATAGTTTGGGTTAGAAGATCACCTGGTTCCAACCCCTCTGACACGGACAGAGACACCTTCCTCTAGACCAGGTTGCTGGTCTAGCTGTGAAGACACTATGAAAAAAGCCACAGGTGAGGGCATGATTAGATGCAAGGGACAGAAAAGTCCACATTAAATTCTCAAGAGAACAACCTGCCAGTGGGATTATCACAACCCCAAACTGGTTGTCCTTGAGTGGGCTCTCATCAGACTAGTTTTGATCACCTTCACCCAAGTACACTGTGTCTTGAGCTTCCCTAGGTTGCAGCTGGCTGCAGTGCTGGTTTTCACTTGATTCCTTTGGCATACTTCCTGAAGTCAAGCTGTCTATCTGCAATCCCCTTGGGATAAGCAGAAAACTCATGTCAAAGTTGGGGACTGGTGTCTAAAGATTTAAATTCCTTTTGGATGATCTGTGTTTAGAGTTTGCCTTGTCAGCAGTGTGCAATAGCACTTGACATGCACAGACACTTTCGCAAGGAAAACCTCAATTATTTGAGGCCCTCAAGAGAAAAAAAAAAAGAATTAAAAAGGATATTTTTATTTGGAGATGAAGTACTAATATACCTGAAATGAAGAGCAGCAAGTGACCAGGATGATTGCAAGTTCACATAGATGTTCAGAGCACTTTAGGAAGTTTGGATTTGAAGGGATAAAAATAGTAGAGGTTTTGTTGGTTGTGCTTTTTAATAAGCCAGCTCTGTTCCTCAAGCTGTTTTACTCAGTGGCCAAGCAGCTGTGCCAGCTGAACTGTGAAGAAGAGCCTGGACAGAAACAAATGCCAAAGCAGGAGGGAAGGGCATGCACTGATTCTGCTGTTCAGGACTTTCCTTCATTAAAATCACAGCCTCAGAGGACACCAGCCACGCCAGGAAAGATCAGTACTGTCCTTACCATCTTTGTCCTTTCCTAAAGGGGATCTGACAGCAATCAAAGACCCTGAAGCATTTGGCTGATTTCCCGTTTTCAATATTTTTGTGCTTTGGGCTACCCAGCAGTTTACACCTTGAAGTGGTGTTGAAATATTAGCATGGTATGGGCTTGGTAAGCCATGTCTGCAAAGCAAGTGTCACCTTCACCAGACAGGCTGGGTCATAGAATCATAGAATCCTAGAATGGCTTGAGTTGGAACGGACCTTGAAGATCATATAGTTCCAATCTCTCTGCCGTGGGCAAGGACATCTTCTCTAGACCAGGCTGCTCAGAGGCCCAGCCAGCCTCATCTCCATCAGGCAGAGTGGAGACTCAAGGTCTTTTTGCCCACAAAATAGCAAGGGCTCTCCCATTCCACTGATGCCAAAGGGTTTGCACCTGTGACTGTGTGAAATCAGGCCCTCCCTGATTTTTCAGCGGTCTCCTCAGCAGTCATTGCCTGCTTGTTTTCTGTCAGCATCAGCTGAATTACACCCTATGCCACATGAAGCCAAGGGCACCTCCTCAGACCTACCTCTCCTCTCCTCCAAACCCTCTTCACAGCATGGCCCAGAGCAAGAAGGAAAAGCCGGACCGTAATCTGCTGCAGCTTCCTAAGGGTTTCAGAGGGACAAAAATATATCTTGATGATTATGGGTCTTGAACTTCCAGACCTCTTAGAGTCTCTTCATCCATAACACTGTTGTTTTCTAAGGCACTGCTTTTGCCTTGAGTCCTGTGTCAAGCCATATGAATCAAACTCTTCAGAGAAGGGTTAACATCAGTATTACACTCCAGATTTTAAGCTACAAGATCCATAGAGTGGTTAAATTTTATTTAAGACTTTTTAAAAGACCTTTGGTTTGTTATAGCTTTGAATTCACATCCGGAGAAAGAGTCACACACTTTTTTCTAAGAGAAATTAGTTCAATTTAGTGAGAATAATAAGATTTTTTAGCAAACATTTTAAAGGAGTGAAATACAACCAAGAAAAAGTATTTCACTGAAACACCTGGCACAAAGACCCAGTCCACAGAATCAGTATACCAACTTTAGTAAAACACAATTAGTTGGTTTTAAGTTACCCACAAGAGAAAGAAAAGAGTAAAAGAAGCAGAGATAAAAAGGGTAAAGAAAGAGAAAAGAAAGAGAGAAGGAGACAGAGGAAAGGAAAAATGGTTACTGATAAGATTTGATGATTCACATGGTGCAGGTTGCAGAAGAAAAGAGAGAGCTCATGAGGAGTCTCAGTTTAGTTTTCCCTCCCAAGCCTTCCAGTACCTTCCAGGCCAGAGTGAGGGGTGCAGTAGCCAGTCACAGGCTCCAGGCGTGTGTGTGTGGGCTACCAGGCAGCTCTGCCTTGGCTGACAGCTCAGCCTCAGCTCTGCCATGTGCTTTCCATGGGCTCAGCCTTGTTGGCCACAGGCTTTCCAGCTCTGTCATGTGCTCCCAGCAGGCCTTATGTGCAGGACTTAGCATGTACCTGCAGGTCTAGGCCCAGTCCTTACACACACACACACACACACACACACACACACGAGTTGGTTCCGACCCATATCAATAATTCAGTGAGATTCAGATCCAGTATCTCACAATCAGTGAAGTAAAAAACCAAGCTCTTGACTCAGAAAGTGGGTCTGAACTGCAAGTGCAGGAGCACTATGAGTTCTTGTTCCCTTTCAGCTGGAATAGCTCCCTGGTGACTTGTCCCACCAGGGAGCTGGAGATATCAATATTAACTCTATTAAAAAAATAAATAGCTGATGTCATCCTCAGCCACAGCCTTTGAGAAGGAGGCGCAGCTCCAGCTCTTGAGACCCTACAACATCTCCAGGAGTTGCTTCTCCTAGTTCATTTTGCTTGTGCCATTGCTTAGCGTCTCATGGGCAGGAGCAGCCTCATACCTCTCTGATGTAAAGTCCACATGTCAAAATAAGGCATTCTACATCTCTCGTAACCCCAACATGTCTTTTCTCCTATCTTTTGAAGCCGCTGCCTTCGTCCTTTCTCTCTCTGTCCCCTCTCCATCTGCACCTGTACTAGGTGTTTAGGCAACATCATTTCCCCACTAAAAATTAAAATCTAAAAATTAACATCTTCAATTAATTGGACCCAAAATTAGCCAAATTCCCTATTTTATTACCATTTTTTTGTACTCCCCTTTCCAGGAAAGAAAATTTAAATGAACCAGAATTGCATGAAAACCATGGGCCTGGAGACTTCTTGAGTGATGGGTTGGGTGAAGGGACAGTAGGAGATGGGAAAATAAAAACAGATCAGCAAAAAAGTAACATTTGCAGATTAAACTATCTGACCATGAAATACTTCCCCTGTTGACCAAAGCTCCTGGGGAAACTCAAATTCAGGATCTAAACCAGAATAATTTTTTACTGCCTTAGTGCAGAAAAAAAGAGAAAAATAGGCTTTAAATTCAGCATTTCTGTTTTAATTGACAGTTAAGTTAGTGTTTGGGAAAAGATGTGTTTAATTTACATGGCCTGACAGGAGACAAAATGAGGAAAATTACTTCTGATAGATTTGGTTGCACGATACTGATATCCCCCGTTGAAACCCACCATCGTTTATTAGTAAAAGGTCAAGCAACTATACAGTCAATGAGATGTAATCATCTACCTTAAAAAGAGATGACTAGTTGTGAATTTTTGTTATTGAAAATGAAAGGATTTTAGCATTTTAGAGTAATAAGTTGATTTCAAAGTTGAAATGATAGCATCTTATTTGAAAAACACAAAAAAACTCCAAAAAACCCCAAGCAAATAAACCAAACCAAACCAAACCAAACCCAAACCAAAACTCAAAACAAAACAAAACCAGGAAAAAAACACACAAAAACAAAAACCAAAAACATAAAACAAAAACGAAACCACAATCAGATTTCCACTGTTGTGGAAAGTCAAACTTTTGATTCTATTTAAGGGAAACATATCTGCACTTTTATAAAAAATACAAGAGGCTTTGTCTTTATAAATTAATCTGTGGCTTCTATAAAAATTAGGATTTTCTAAAACGTTACCAGTTCCAAATGTTGTCTAAATGTTAATTGTCTTGATAACAGTCCAGATGCAGCAAAACTCTCTCAGTAAGTTATTGTTCACCCAAGGTGACATTCAAGCTGACAAGATCTTAAGAGTAGCGAAATAAACCTGCCATCCCACACCTCTTGCTCCAACAGGGAGAGCTCAATGACAGTGCTGATAGTAAGAAGAGCAGATGAGCCAAACAGCCTTTTGGTCATTTTTCCCGAGACTGTGTGATTTGCCCAAGGCTATATTAGGATTCAGTGTCGGAGAGATGGGCGAATGGCATTTAATCAGTGTACAGTGCTGATCTCTGCAGTACTCCTGGTTCAGAGCACTATAATGCAGTGATGCCATAAATAGACTAAAGTCCTATGAAGAAAGAAAAAATGCCCAAACATGTCCCCACCTTTCATTACTGTAAGCACGGAGAATAGTAACAAACTCTGCATATGACAACTGTGTTGTTATAAACTAACCAGTGCCTCCTTAACATAAGGGATCTAACTCGCTGCAGTGCAAGTCCCTTATGGATTAAATATACAGCTGCGTGGATAAAGCCATCTACACAGTGTGTTTAGCCAGTTCCTCAGCCTATTCATAAACACAGAATATTTTATTTATAGTGTAACTTCCTCATCTGTGTTAATTTTAAAGGCTGCAGCTCTAAGTCACTGGAGCCCTCATCTCTCCTGCAGTCAAAAGCTCAACTTTCCACCACGCTCCCGCGTTCACACGCATCTCCACGTACCTGTTCCGTGGCTTGAAGAGAATGAGGAGGAGGTTTCGCCTCTGCTTGCAGCCTTCTGCCTCCCAGGCTCTCCCAGCAGCTTTTCCAGAGTAAGCCGAGGAAGAGTTTCCTTAGGGGAGTCGTACCTCTATTGCATGCCAGCTGACTAAAATTCTGTGAGCTCCGACAGAAGTTTGAAGTCACAGGGAAAAAAAATACTCCCCACAGACTGGTCCTTGAATTCATTCCTTTGCAGTCATGATCTCTTATATATTCCCAGGCTCCCACGAGCATGTGAATACATACCTCCATAATTGTTTTAAAATGTGTGTGTCCTCTGCTCTTCTCTTTATTTTCCATTTCGTTCATTCAATCTTGGCTTATTTCCTGCAGTTTCTCAGCTGGTAATTATGCTCCTCTCATATTGACACATGAAACAGGCTGTGAATACCACAAAAAATTCTATCTGCAGGCTTTGGGGACATGTGCTTGTCTCTGAAGTTATCTGTACCTGCCCCATGGCTGTCAGCCTGCAGGTTCTCAGGGGGTGGGGTAAATGAGGGATACCGAGATAGCTGCAAACCCTAAACTCCAAGGCCGTGCAGGATGGGTTGTGTAGGAAAATGGTATATGAAAGGGAAACTTCACAGTAGGGAAAACACATCATGTTTGGTGTTCCAACAGCTCAGGTATGTGTCTGTGGCACAGCAGTGGGATGACCAAATGCACCCTTGGGGAAAAGGATAAATTCAATTTAATACTTGAATGAGTAATAATGTAAATGCCTTCTAGAAAAGGGAATGGGATGGATTTTTCTTTCTTTTCCTCGGGTATGAGGCTCCCTTTCATTTCAGAAGAAATGCTCTTGTGTAAACCAGTGGGAGACTTGCGCATTGCCTGTGTTGTCTTCTTCTGCTCAGATATGCCCTTATACCTGGGCAAGTGTACACTGACCTCTCCACACTAGTTTGCAGCAGAGCAAACTTCTAACAGAGTTTTTCCAGCTCCTCCATGGGTATCTTAGGATCAAAATGAGTCTTGCCTTCAGCAGCCAGGACATGACCTCTCCTGGGCCACCCCACCGGGAATCTCCTACAGGCACCAGGGACCAAAGCAAATCTCCCAGGGACCACTGCAAACCTCTGACCTTCTTCCCTGGATGCATGAGGAGTATTACCACTGAGTGACCTTCATCCTGAATGAGAGGTTTGCCTTCAGCGTTGTGTGTTCTGCACACTTTGCACTGAGATCTGCAATGATGGCCAAGGATTTTGGATGGACCAAAAAAGCAGAGGGTACTGACTCCCTTCTCCTGGACAGCATAAATTTTGTCCAGCTTTCCTGGATCTGCTTATTAAAATCAAATAAAAACCATGACCTTTAACACCATATACCAAGCAGCTCTGTGGATTCTGCTAAACATGTGCTGACTCCAGCCTTTATTTCTCTGCAACAGGTTACTGTTTGTTCTGTGTAGCACAACAGCTCCCATCAGAGTTACTTCAGGTCTGCACTATGCTGGGAGATTCAAGATGAAAACGTCCACAGATGTGAAAGATGTGGTTAGTTAAATATCGCAATATGTACTTTTTGCATGTGTTATTGCAATAAGAATGTTAACAAGGATAATCAATTTAAAAGGAATGTACACATTATAGTAAAGAATAAACAATAAAATTTTTAATACCGTAATAGCTACTGCCTGTGTACATGTATAGCATACTTTTTAAAGGCCAAATGCCTTAAGAACAGTAAGTGAACAATTTATTGTTGACTTCTCTTGGCAACAGAAGCAGATCTGGAGGAGCTTGGCTGTGTACAGCAGCTCCAAAACCTTACCAATGACCTCAGAATAGAACTGTTACAGGACATAGCTGATCCCAAGAATACAGGGTAATACCAATGAGCAAACATGAGGTAGAAAAGCCACAACATCCCTGTGCTGTGTGTAAACTAGGAGTCCACTATTGCTCCATCTCGTGGCACTGTGCGTAGTGAATATGGCTGTGGTGCTTGGTTTGGCATCAGCTTGACACTGATGCGTTGATGTAGATCTCCTGCCCAAGATAAACACACCTCATAATTCCTTCTAGTTTATTTGGCTGGGACTGATAATGGGAGTTCACCAAAGCACAAGGAGATACTGTATCCCCTCCTCGTATGTAACCACATCAGGCCAACCTGATGGCCAACTTTATGTCACCACAGCCAAGCCTAGAGGATGGCTGTGTACCTGCTGCTTAGAGATGTGTGTCCCATTGTATTTTCCAAGTGGTGCATGGCTATCTAACAGGAAAATGGCCTGTCACAGAACAGATTGGAAGTCTCCCAGCAATACATTTCAGACGTATATGAAAGCAGAAAAAATTATTCACACAGATCCTGCTGCTGTTAAACCTCTGTCTCTGGTGTGTGGACACCCAGTGACACCTGAGTGCTGATACTTCTCCACTTCTCTCCCACTAAAGATATCTCTCCCAGAGAGATATCCCTCCTCTAGAGCAGTTTGGCTATGTCCAGGTGTGTAGCACTCAGACATCTACCTCTGGATGGTGCCTGCACAGCCCTGAGATTGTTCTTTCACTGTTAGCTTTCTTTCAGAATGCCTTGAATAAGGAGGGGACAGCATGCAAAGCAGCTTTGGAATAGTGTAGGAGGACTGTGTGGAGCAGAAGCAATCAAACCTGAAGCAGGCCCTGAAGGAAATCCCAGCTTGGAGGGAGCAAGCTGGTTTGGTGCAGATGGGTGCCCACGAGAGAGCTAACCCTCAGTGTGGTTGACTGGCGGGGAGAGGTTATCTAACAGCATCAATGTACCCATGCACACCCCATGAAACAACCTGAGCCCACTAGGAGGACACCACACCCTGAAGACCTGTAGGATCTTGCCACTGGAACTGCTTACAAGCACCAATCCTGCAATAATTTCTGCTGGTACCTGCCATGCACAAATCCTACATGTCTCCATGCTAGGGCAGCAGGATGTGGAAACCAGCAAATCCCACTTCAAAAAAAAGGCCATAGGTCAGTGCTGGTTACAAAAAGTCAACCCTAGGCCACCTCCTCCCCTTCCAAGTCTCACAGGATTCCCACTGTTTCATAAGAGAGAGAAACAGGCTTCATTTTTGGGGCTGGCATGGAGACAAACAGAAGTGCTGAACAGAAAGCAAAATTCCCAGCTACTGAGATGCTCCAAGTCATCCCTGCCAGTATAAGCATCATTATTTTGAACTGACGTTAGCCCAGCTACTTTTTTAGAAATTACACTAAAAACAGAAAAAAAAAAAGAGGGGCAAAAAAAACCCCAAAACTGGCAGTTTTAAAAATCTGCAGAAGATTAGAGGTTGACCGTGTGCTCATCTCATGATTAAAATAGGTTGTATCTTGTCAAAAAGATGCCCATCTCTAATTATAAATGATATTTCCCCAGACTAAACAAAGTTTGATATTTATGCTCCATTTCCTCCAGCTCTGATTACAACCTGATCTTTTAAAAAAAGAAATGAGGAAAAAGAAGGCCAAGAGCTTTGTCACGGCCACTCTTTCTGTTCCTGTTGTTGTTGAAGAATTTTGCTACTGGGATTGTGATGATGATTCAGGTTCTGGGAATTTGGCTTGCTCTGGGGCTGATGCTGATGGTAAGCAAACTGGTGAAGTTGTCCTTGTCACCAGATTAACTGTGATTCTTGTCCCATCTCAGCCTCATCATATGGTGCCTTCAGGTCTCAGGAACTGTGATTTTATTTGAACTCAAAGATGTTGCTGCTCTTGGCATTTCCCCAGATTAGGTTTGGCTCAGTCCCCTTTTGTGCCAGACATAGCCTTCCTCAGGTCCACCTGGCTCTGAAGACATTTGGCATCGCAAGATGCAGACAGTTCTACTTCAAACTGCAAAGGAGACATACCTTAGCTAACTCCAAATCAGCTACCAATAACCCAAGCAGCTGTGAAATTCACCCAAAAAGTGGAGTTAAAAATGCATGTCCAGTTCTTCTGGGACACTCCACACTTACCCAGCCTGATATGACTAGCTATGAGAAGTTAGCTGTGTCCATGTTATGCTGCAGTGATTTGAAGAGTTGGCACAGTCCCAGCTCATCTTGTTACTCTTGGGTGACAGGGTCCCCAGGCACTGCTTGACACCTGGGCAGAAAGTACCAGAAAACTGAGCAAGAAAGCAAAATGCACATAATGATGTTCAAGACATTAATAGAATGCTTGACGGATGCAGTACATCACTTGGAGTGGAAGATGTTGTGGAAACTCCCTGAGCAGGTGCTACCACAGGATACAGGTGGGTTGACTTTGGTGATATGGGTCTTCTGCAGAGTCTTCTGAGAGAACACGGAAGATAACAAAAAAAAAAACTTGGGGACAAAACAATGTCAGATGGGGAGATCGCTGGGGCATATGGCAGTGAGGCAGTAAGAGAAAAAAAGACAAGGAAAACATGTGGGCAAAAGTCCCAGATAAGTAAACTTATATCACAGGAGTTTCAGAGAACCCCCTAATTTTGGGGAGTTTAAATGTGGCAAATGGAATTTTTATTTGTATTGAATGTGGGCGGTGGGAGGGGGGAGGTTGGGAAAACTATGTCCATGGTCCTCTGGTTTTATTTTCCAACCCCTGTGGTCCTCAGACATACACCATGGTCCAGTGAGACTTTGAGGTATGGCTTGCAAGCAGAGCTGCCAGGTGAACATCTCAAGAAGACAGAAATAAGGGCAGAGACCTTCTGCCTTGCACTTGCCCTGCCCTCTGTTTGGAGGGAGCCTGCATCCAACACAGATTTTTCAAGTCTCTCTGGGCTTTTTTTGCCCTCCACTGCCACATCCAGGAACATCTTCTAGCCTCTGCTTGGAACACCCTAAAACTTTATCAAAAGGTTCAGGAAACTGTGCTGTGTGTGACAAATCCTGTTTATCTTGAAATGCAAACCAAATGAGACTGATGTGGCTTCTCTTACAAATATTTCCTACATGTCTGCTGTATCACTGCAATAGTAGGAGAACCTATAAATCAGGTGGTGCCAAACAAGCTGCAGAATGTTTTGCTCTGTCTTCTGTGATAGTGGGGTTAAAGATCATGTTTATCTCTAAATCTCCTGCTTAATTTAAATTGTGAAATTTCATCCATTCTTCTTCCTTC